TTTTTTTTCCTCCAGCTTTATTGAGATATAATTGACATACAGCGCTGTATAAGTTTAAGGTATACAGCATCATGATTTGACTTAAATACCTCATGAGGTTATTATAATAATTTTAGTGAACATCCATCATCTCTTATAGGTACAAAATTAAAGAAATAGGAAAAAAATTGTTTTCCTTGTGATGAGAACTCTTAGGATTTACTCTTTAACAACTTTTATATATAACATACAGCAGTGTTTTATTTATCATGTTGTATGTACATTACATCCCTGGTACTTACTTATCTTACAGTTGGAAGTTTATACCTTTTGATTACTTTCCTCTGATATTCCCTCCCCCACCCACTACCTCTGGTAACCACAAATCTGATCTTTTTTTTGTATGAGTTTATTTGTTTTTGAAGTATAATTGACCTACAACGCTATGTTAGTTTCTGTCACACACATAGTGATTCAATATTTCTATACATTTCAAAATAATCCCCATGGTAAGTCTAGTTATGAGGTCATCATACAAAGATACTACGGAGTTACTGACTCTTTTCCCTACACTGTCCATTTCATACCCATGACTCACTGATTTTGCAACTGGAAGTTTGTACCTCTTCATCTCCCTGACCTACTTCCTCCCCCACCACCTCCCTCCCCTCTGGCAATTACCTGTTTGTTCTCTGTCTGTAACTCTGTTTCTGTTTGATTATGTTTGTTAATTTGTTTTGTTTTGTTTAGATTCCATGTATAAGTGAAACCATACAGTATTTGTCTTTCTCTGTCCAACTTAGAATGTTGATTTCTTAAACATTCCTCAGTTGGTTGTCAGACTGACGTTAAGAAAAAGCTCTCTCACTGCTGGTAGAGGTTGTATAAAGCGCAGTGTTCCCTTTCCTCATGCTGTGAGAGAGGCTTGCTTTAGTTAAACAGACCACTGTTCTTTAATGATCCCAATGCCAAGAGATTTTCCTACTTGAGAAGGTCTTCAGAGAACACTGGTTTATGACAAGTTGTAAGATGTTTATCTTTTGGTTTTCATTTTGCTTATGTAAAAAACTATGTGAAAGACCTATGCAAATTAATCCTATTGGACTTAAAAACGCTTGAAATTAGCATACACTGTTAATTATAAAATAATTTTAAAAATTTTATCTTTATCTTTTTCTCTAAATGTAGCCTCAAATGTTTTCCTTTCTTAGACTTTGTATATTTTTTTGTGGATGTTTTAAAAGTACTTTTAGTGATATGATGTCCATGATGTAAAAAGATCAAATCAAAATGCCTTGGGCTGCAGGGCATCACCCCTTCCCCAGCCACACTAGCCTGCTTCCTGGTGGCCTCGTAGCCCCACAACTACACCCTAGTATTTACCAGTGGACTTTTTTTTTTTTTAATTGAAAGAAAACATATGCTACTAAATTATACTAATGAAGGTAAATCATTTTTTAAAAGACAGCCATAATACAATGTATGGGAAAAACTTCTTGTGTATTTGTTTTTAGATCTACATTTTCTAACCACTCTCACTCTCTTTTTTTAAAAATTATAATAAAATATACACAACACAAAATTACCTTTTCAATCATTTTTAAGGGTGCAGTTCAGTGACATTAAGTATATTCACATTTTTGTGCAACCATCACCACTGAAACTTTTTCACCTTGTAAAATTGAAAATCCACACTCATTAAACAATAATTCACCATTCTACTTGCTCCCCAATCCCCAGCAATCACTATTTTACTTTCTGTCCTATGTGTTTGACTACTCCAGCTACCTGACATAAGTGGAATCATACAGTATTTGTCCTTTTAATGTCTTCAGAGTTTATAAACGTGGTAACATGCGTCAGAATTTCCTCCCTTTCTAAGGTTGAGTAATATTCCATTGTATATCTACACTACCTTTTGTTTATTGATTTATCTGTCAGTGGACACTTGGATTGCGTCTACCTTTTGACTGTTGTGAATAATGCTACGAACATGGGTGTACAAATATTTGAGTCCCTGCTTTCACTTTTGTGTATATATCCAGAAGTGGAATTTGCTGTATCATACGGCAATTCCATTTTATTTTATTCTTTTGAGGAATCACCATACTACTTTCCAGCAGCTGCACCATTTTACATTCTTACCAGCAAGGCACAACACTTGTTAATTTCTGTGTTTTTGATATTTGTCATCCTATGAAATTGGTGTTTTTGTTTGTTTTTTTCTGGTGGAGGGACGTAACTAGGTTTATTTATTTATTCTTAGAGGAGGTACTGGGGATTGAACCCAGGACCTCATGCATGCTAAGCATGTGCTCTACCACTTGAGCTATATACCCTCCCCTGAAATTGGTTTTTAAATGACTAATATATTTGGAATAATAGATGAAACTAGTTCACCCTTAGCCAATATCTTTACATAGCAGTGAATTAGAAATTCATTAGGTGATGCTAGTACTGGTAATTTAATGCTAGCTATAATATGCCAGTCATTTTGTGTTTTTCCCCTCTGCTTTGATTATAATTAGGATCTCTTCACTGTTAAAACATAATTCTAATAAATTAATAAATAAGTTTTCTTTTGACAGCTTTTTTTTTCTAATGTCAAAAATATCATCTCTTGCATGCAGATTGATCTCGTACAGATAAAACAGATATTCAGTCAGATGTATCAGAAGACCCTGGGCATGATGATTTCAAGTGACACAAGTGGAGATTACCGAAAGCTTCTTCTGGCCATCGTGGGCCAGTAGGAGAAATTTTTTTTAAACAAATGAAGCTATTCAAAGCTTATCCTTCAAAGCAATGACTGACCTGCATGCAGCAACACCAGCCACCTAAACAAAAGAGCTTTTCCTAAGGACTGTGTCAGGGTATTGTGCTTGGTTTGCACATGGGGTTATTGCCTTAATTCCAGTGTTTTCTTTTTCTCTTTATATACAATCAAGTAAAGCCATATCACAATGATATAGTAATAATGCAATGTTTGTAAAGCATAATTCTCACTGCTCTTATTCTAAATAGGATACCAAATTGAATAAAATCACAACAGTCTCTAATTCTGTGCAATCATATTGAATAAAAAAGTTCAATATTGAATAAATTTGAATAGATAATACTGAGTTAAAAAGAAAACCTCTGCCTTCCACTGGACAGTTATAGTTGGTTGTATGTCAAAACTGTATTACTCTTTTAAAAAATTCAGCTCTTTTGACCTAGAAGAGTAATTTGCATCTTATTTTACATAAATTGGTATTCTATTTCATAAATACTAAATTTCCCACATAGAAAATAGATTAGTATTGCCTGTAGCAACTTTTCAAAAAAAGAATTATATGTTTATATGCATAAAATACATAGCCTACTTTTATGTCTCCTAAAGCTCACTACAGATTTTTATTGACCCTTGATTTAAAAAAAAATTTATAAAAGACTTTAATTTCAGTTGCAATTTAATCATGATTGAAGAAAGTGAAGCTTGACACATAAAATGTGCTCAATTAATGAATGAATGAGGCTTAAAGTATTTCCCTGGGAGATTGAACACTAGCTCTTTGGAGAAGTATTTTGGGAGCTCAGTGGTACAGCAGAGTGATTTCAAACCTGGTTTTATTCCTAGTACTGAGCAATTACTTAAGTATGTTGAGCATTACAATAGGTAGTCAGGGAAAATACAAAGGAAGAAGGTTTGTAATCTAGTGAGGGTTCTAAACAAAACTTAGGATATAAGGAAGTTGTAAATGTTGGGTTATAAATTCTGCTGAGGATAATAACCGTATCTGTTCTTAGTGTTGAGCTCTCTGGCACAAAGCAGGTGTTTACTATAGATCTGGTGAATGACTGTACTAAATAAAAATTGAGGAGAAGAATTGTAAGTATCAATTATAATATGAACATTTGTTTTGTTTAAGTACCAAGGTATATATATACAAGATGGTATAAAATACAGCCTTACTCTTACAGAGGCAGACCTATGTACAATACTGAGGCAAAAGCAAGATACATAGGTAGAAGGATAATGGGCTAAGGTAGATGTAATTTTAAAAAGTTTCATTGAAAAAGTTCAGTTTTGATAAAGGTTTTGAGTAAGTAACAATGAAGGGATGTAAAGTAAAAAAAAAAAATCTAGTGATTGGGAGGTACCAAATGTAAAGCTGAGAGAGGTTTAAGTTATTAAGGAAAGAAAAGATAGGAGCAATGTATTTTTAAGCTTTTTAAAAACTGATATATAATTCATATATCATAAAATTCAGTGGTTTTTAGAATATTCATATATTTGTGCAACAATCACCACAATCAATTTTTGAACATTTTCATCACCCCAAAAGAAAACTTATACACATTATCAGTAACTTCTTTTCCCTCCTTCCCAGCCCCTGGCAATCACTAATCCACTTTGTGTCCAAATGGATTTGCCTACTTGGGGCTTTTCATATGAATGGAGTCATACAATGTGTGGCCCTTTGTCTGGCTTCTATCAATTAGCATTCATTGTTTGGATGGACATGTGGGTTGTTTCCCCCTTTTTATTTATGAATAATGCTGCTACGAACATTCATGTACAAGTTTTTGTGTAGACACGTTTACAGTTCTCTCGGCTATAGTACTAGGAGTGGAATTGCTGGTACATACAGTATCTTTATGTTTACCTTTTTGAGGATGTGCCAAACTCTCTTCCAAAGCAGATGTACCATTTTACAACCCTACCAGCAATGAATGAGTCTTCTATCCTACTGAGTGTGAAGTGGTATCTCATTGTGGTTTTGATTTGCATTTCCCTAATGACTAATGAGCATATCTTGAGCTCATTGGCCAGTTGCATATCTTCTTTGGAAAAATGTCTATTCAAATACCCATTTTTAAATGAGCTATTCATCTTTTTATTGTTGAGTTGTAAGGGTTATTTATATATTCTGGTTAGAAGACCCTTATCGGATGTGATTTTGTTTTGTATTCTTTTACGGAATGGTAAGTCAGGTTTGGCCACAAGAGAAGACACAGGAGAGGCTCAGGAAAGTAATTATGCTCAAACATCTTAGAGACAGAAGGCACTGCACACATAGGGCCAAATGGGAAAGGCACCAGGGTGGTCAGGAGGCTGGGGGGCCATGCCTATATTGGTGTTTCTGAGTGAAAGGCAGTGTGGGTCAGGGTAAACAGTTTAGGATTGGCTAGTTGGAGTAATTTTGGTGGGCTTTGGACTATATGGGTGGTCTCCAGTTGCCTGGTTCCTAGCCCTGGGATTACTAAGGCAGAAGAATATTTTCCTCCTGGGGTTCAGGGCCAGATACAGGAGGTATGGCTCTGGATTGGTTAGCTGGCATATCAAAACATGCTCTTAGCTTGGTCCTTTGCTATCTCTAAGAACTGGCTACCTGGGGAGGGGCAGTCTCTCCCTAGCCAGAAGGGTTTTTTAAGATGTAAAAACAACACAATGTGCAGAAAATTATATATACACACACACAATACACATTTAGAAATATTTTCTCCCATTCTGTGGGTTGTCTTTTTACTTTCTTGATGGTGTCTTTTGATGCACAAAACTTAAATTTGATGAAGTCCAATTCTCTTTCTTTTTCCTTTGGTTGCTTGTGCTTTTGGTATCATGTCTACGAAACCACTGTCTAATGCAAGCTCGTGACAATTTACCTCTATATTTTCTTCTAAGATTTTTAGAGTTTTAGTTCTGAAATTTTGGTCTTTAACATTTTTAGTTAATATTCTTATATGATGTGAGATAGGTGTCCGGCTTCTTTCTTTTGCATTTGGATATCCAGTTGACCCAGCATCATTTGTTGAAAAGACTATTCTCTTGCCATTGAATTGTCTTGACACTCTTGTCAAAAATCACCTGACCATGAATATAAAGTTTGGTCCAAGGACAGAGGGAATGAAAAGTGCACAACGAACTGAGGAGCTATCTTAAAACCAAAAAATAAGGCAGGTAGTTCCATACAATCAATGGAGCAGTTTATTATTGGGTAACTTACATACAGGGTGGAATCGGGTGGACAGCAGCCCCTCTGCAGTAGAGCAATTCTCCACACTGTCAAGGGGCCACTGAGACAACTTTATGTCAAACTAGGGCATGAGGGTACATATTCAGAGACAGGGCGTGCATTCCTAAGTCAAGACTGCATCTAATTTATGAGTAACTAGTCTTGTGGGCACCAGGATAACATCAGCGAAGGTCTTACCATAGTTTGAAGACTCACACAGCATATAGGCCACCTGGAACTAATGAACATTAAACAGTATCTATTAGCTACAAAGCTCTTGACAATAGAGAAGAGATTTACCACACAGTACAGTCCCAGGTAGGGTCAGTGGAAGGACAGGAGAAACTGAACAGGCCCAAAATGGCGTTAGTTATGCTAACTGTGAAACAAATTCTACACCATTCTCTATTCTATTAATCTATATGTCTATCCTTATGCTTTGATTACTTGGTAACTATAGCTTTATAATAAGTTAGAAATTGGGAAATTTGAATCCTTCAACTATAGCCTTTCTCAAGAATGTGTTGGCTATTTTGGGTCCCATGCATTTCTATATGAATGCAAAAAAAAAAAGCCATGTTGATAGTGATTGCTTTGACTCTGTAGATCAATTTGAGTATAAGCAATACATTTGATTATATTATTGGATATTGTCAGAAATAAATGGGGAATAGAAACAGATTGGCTAATTAGGAACAAGTCTTTCAGAGTAATGAGAAAGGAGTTGTTGAAATAGTGCGCCATTTAGTGGAGGTCTCTGAAACCCAGACTAAGGAGTTGGAATTTTTTAGAGCTTTTATACCTTTTTTTGCCTCCATAGTTCATTCATTTTGACTGCTTTGTAATAACGCTATTTTGTGAATATGTATCAGCATATTCATCCACTCTTCGGTTGGGTTGTTTCCAGGTTTTTGCTACTGTATTTTGCCATTCCAACTCTAATGTAGAATTTCAAATGTATTAAATTTTTGCATCACTTCAAGTCTGTTTATTGTATAAATATTAGCACTATGGTTTTAGCATTATTAGCACTATTAGCAGTACGGTTTTGCATTTTCATCAACAATATGAGAGAGCCAGTCTCCCTTTAAAAATACTGTCTTATCTGCATTTTTTACGGATAAAGATTTAAATGCCCGTTTTCAAAACCGTTTAATACAGGCCTTTATTTTATCTTTTAATACGTTTCCTTTTGGTTTCTCTCCTCCTGTTTATGGAGGGATACTGAAAGAAAGGGGTCGAGAAAGCAAAATCAAAAAGTGGAAAACGTACTTAGCCAAAACTTTCGCCAAGGTAAAAGGACATCTGCAGAAACACCAGAGACCCCAGGTACGGACGGGCGCTGCGGCTCAGGCTCACAATTTCCAGAGCGCACGCGCAGAAGCTCACCTCGCGCCCCTTTCTTGGTTCCCTCGCGGGCAATGTTATCGCGAGTCTTGGGATAAACTTGCGGTAATTCCGAAAACGAAGTTCTCGCGAGAGGGAACCGGTTCCTATAGTTGCAGGAGACGCGTCTGCGGCTGTCTCAGGTAAGACAGCTATCACTCCTTAGAAAACAGTCCCACGTCTCACCACTCCCGCCCTCGGCGCCCACACCCCGTTACCTCAGTCTCTTCTCCCTCAGCTTCGGCCAGACTGAAACGCACGGACCGCATCCCTCCACCGCCGTACTCCGGTACAGACCTCCACGGCCCCGACCCCCCTAGGCTGGGACGACCCCGCCAAGCCCAGGCCTCCCACTTTACGCCGAGATCCCCCGAAGTAAGCGCAGACTGCGTACCTGTCCCCAGACCACCCCTAGTCACATTGTCTCCTTTATCTAACCTGCAGTTTCTTGTGACTGACTGCCTTAACCATCACTTGTAACTAGCCAGATTCCTTGCACTAATTGTTCAACAAATACGCCTCTAACGCCACTTAGGGACAAGGCATGGTGCTAGGCACTCAGGGGCTGCAAAAGTGTGACAGATTACTTGTTTTTAAGGGAATAGTTCAGCATTCAGGAAAAGTAGTGCATATTAATAACACCATTTGTGCGGCGCTTCATAGGTTAAGCAGTTTTACTGTTTTAGTGAATATTTTCAACAAATGTGAAATAGGCGTAAGTTATATTATCCATTTTATAGAAAGTGAAACTGAGGCTCAGAGATGTTAGGCATTTATCAGCCTAGTGAAGACCTAATTCATGTACTACTACTGAAAAGGAAAGAAGTAGAGTGATGCAGAAGGTCATTTCAAATGTAAACTTGATAAGAAAGTTGTTAGGGTCACTTAGGCCCTAAATGAACCTGGAGACATAGTGTTGAACAAGTGATCTGAGACTTTAGGTAACTGGGAAAGTGAGGGAGTCGCTGGGGAGAGGCAGAATATTTATAAACCCTGGGAACGGCGAGATATCTCCTTTTTTGTTCCATCGGTCAGATACACTTAGGGGTAAATCCTGAGTAAATGTTTGAATTGCATTAAGTTCCACTTTGAATTGTTAGAAAACATGACTTTTTTCCCCCCTTAACAGCTATGCAGTTTATTTTTGAAATTGTATCCTTAGTGTTGTAAAATAATTTGAAAATATCTTTGACTAAATAAGACATATGTTAGGAATTTTTCCAGTGGACTCACCTGTGTGGCTGCTGCTTTCCTGTTTTTAAAATATATTTTTCTAAAACCGAGAGATAAGTAACACTTGAGGGGAGATTTGCACATCAAAAAAAAAAAAGTAGCTACCAAAAAACATTGTGAAGAATGTGGGGGATGTGAGTTGGGGGTATGGCATTCCTATCCTCTGTCTTGCTATAATTTGTGCTTAATGGGTTAGTTACATATATAAGGATCTTATTAGCACTAACCAGTGAAATCACCCTTGTAACTAGCTCTGCCTACCTGGCAACAAAGGTTGGAAAGGGCACAAAACAATACTGGACTAGAACATTTCTCCCCTGGTATTGGTTATGATGTAATGTGAGTACTTGTGCAGCTATGTTATATGAGAGGACAGGTTCACTCATTATGTTCACAGAGATCAAAGAAGACCAGAGAGACTGCCTGAGAGTCGGTATGGAACAAGTGTCATCAACAGGCAGACCCGTGCAGATCACTGTGACAGATGGATATGACTTGGTAAAGTTATTTTTGAGAATCTAGGAAGTCCTTAGTTTATTCATTTCTTGAAAATACTTTTGCCTTTGGGCTCAAGTCTCCCTGTTAGTCATCTAAGTGTGGCTTGGGGAGGATGTGTAAGGAACATTAGCAGGAGGAATGGAGTTTAGCATCATTCTGTACCACCAAACCTGCTGGTTTTATAGCAATGGCACTTCCTTCTCAGTATGCCTTATTATTAGTCTATAATCAGCAAATCCTCTTACTGTGTGTGTAAAATACCTGGCAATTTGAATACTAAATTTAACAGGGGTGAAACAACTGGTTTTCATTTTCCTAGCAGCAGTTCCTTTCTCCAGAAGAGGATCTGAATTCCTCCAGAGTTTCTCTTGTGATTAATTTCACTTGCTGAATTTAAATAATAAAGCTACAATATAATATAACTGAAAATTTACAAGAAAAATGAAATAGTAAAATATTCATTCAATGCTATGAAATCAAAAGCTTATTCCAAAACAGGATGTAATAACTAATTTCTACTTTGTTTTAAAGGCTGTATATAAAAATATATATATAAATGTGTGTGCATTTACAGTAAAACGCTAGAAAATATATTCTAAAATGTTAATAGTGCTTCCATATAAAAGTGAGATTGCAAGTAATTTATTTTCCTATGTGCTTTCCTCACTTTTTCAAATGTTCCACAGTATGCTTTTATAATTATATAAATACAATAAATGTTATTTTTCAAAACTTCCAACTTGATGGCATTTAAATAGAATATTGCATTTAGCTATAACTAGATTTATATAATGACTTCTACTTCTACTACATTTGTGGTATAGCTTGTTAGGACAACATGGAAAATGTTTTTTAGTTCAAGTCAAAATGGATTGCCAGATATATAGGAAAATTCTGTATTTGAACTGTAAATTATGTATAATTATATAACATGCATAATTGTAAAGTATGTTTCTGTCAACAGAAGGGTTTTAAAGGAGATACTCCAGTTACCTTTATTCGTGCAGAATTCAATCAGGTAGTTCTGGGAGACTCTGCAAAAATTACTATTTCTCCAGAAGGAACTGCAAAATACAACTTCACTAGCAGTTTTGAGTTCAATCCTGAAGGAGGAATCACGTTAGAAGACCTCGCCCATAAACCTGTGTTCTGTAAGTCTTTGTGATTCTAAAAATGTTAATTATATGAACATGTTATAGGATATTCTGAGGTATGCAGTAGCTGTTGTTGGGACAGATGAACACACTTTACCTTTTTAATCTAGGAATAATGCAGTATACTTGGAGTCCTACCGGCTTCTGGCAGCTGTCCCCATGCCCTACTAATTTTAATCCGTTTGTATCAAAGACCTTTTGACATATGCCTGAACTTTGCAGCCTTTATCTCCTAAGCTGATTGTGAAGCTTTTCCTTTCTATTCCTATGTATTTAGAGTTGCCAGATTAAGAAACAAACAAACAAGAACCCCCAAAAAGTGAAATTTGGGACATATTTATACTAAAAATTATTATTTGTTGTTTATCTGAAATTGAAATTTAATTGGGCATCTTATATTTTACCTGGCAACCCTATCTGTACTTCTATATATTCACCAGACTGTATAGGTATTATTAATTTGCCTTCCTTGCTAGAAGAGGCACTTTTTGAAATCAGGGTTGTATCTTATTTATTTCAGAATTTCTAGCACCTGGAAATATCTGGGACATAAAAGGGCTCAAAAGTGGTCATTGAATGAATGAATGGATAAATAGATGGATGGTTTCAGTATCCACACTTTCACAGTTTCTAACTACACAATATTATCTCTGAAATATTTTATTCCTATATCTGTATGCTGGTCTAAACCTTTTGTTGTTGTTGTTGTTGTAAACTATATTCTATTTTTTTTTGTTGTTATTTTTTTAGTGGCACATCTCCTGGAGTATCTGCCAAAAACCACAGATTGTAAGATCCCACACCCAGAGAGGTGGACCTGGCAATCTATACAGGATTCTAGAGCAGTGCTTTCTGAAACTCTTTCCGTAACAGTCACCTGAGGCTCTGGGAGAAAATAGTCTTCAATCTTGGTGATCTCACCTCAGACTACCAAGTCCAAAATTGCCAGAGGAGGAGCTTAGGAATCTGTACCTTTGAACAAAAGTGTCAAGTGATTTCCTGGGAAATACTGCTCAAGAAATTGATTTTTAGCTCTAGCCTCCCTGGGAATCAGTCAGCCACAGAGGCACCATCTGGCCTGCATTCTTT